CAACCAGTCAGAACAGTTTCTTGCTACTAGGCTTGTAAACAGAGAGCTGCCGGGCCTCAAAGTTTGGAGACGGTGGGAGCCAGGAAAGAGAATCAAACCATTACAAACTCACACAAGGGGATAAAACAGACGTTTTACATGGTGAAATGTGACTGAAGAAAACTTAGGAGCTTAATCCCACACCAGTTTGACCATGAATAACGTCGGGTGACGAGTCTGACTTTATTTTTTCACATTGGACTCCACCGAGAAGAAACCCCGTGCATACTGCCTGCTTAAATGTTTGCTACGTCAGAACTTATTCGACAAATGTGTTTCCATCTCTGCTTTTGTGCATTAACTCTTACAGGATGGGGGAAATTGGTCTTGGTGGAGGTTTGCACTCTCCGAGTGCTTCTAGTTAAGTTTATGATATCAGAATGATCCAGGTACAAAAATGTAGCTTTTAAAGCCAGGAATGTGAAAATGTGATGAGGTCATTTTGACCAAATTTGACTTAATCCTCATTTCGATATGATGGGTCACATATTTACTCCTGATTTTAGATATTTTACACATGCAGTAGCAAAAAGAGCTGTCTATAAAATGACGTGGTATGGCAGGGTCTTACCAAAGAATAACTCATTAGTTGCCAAAAAGGCTGAGTACTATGTCAGTTCTTACATGTGCCTTTTACAACCACATCATCAGTTGCAGGTAGCTTCTTCGTTTGCAGTTTGGTCTGCACTGCGTGAAATTAAAATCTTAATTTGGCCATGAGAAGACTTGAGTTTGGCCCTGAAATGCATTCCTTTAGAATGCACTCAGGTCTAAACTTTACTCGCCCKCAGCCTTTCCAGTTGACTATGGTCTTGGCCTCCTATTTTTATCTCTCGGGCCGTTATCTGCCCTTTGACTTTCACAGCTGAAACAGTAGAGCCGGCTGCCTAAATGTCACATACAGTGTGTGGTGGTGCATTGAATGTCCTGAGCCTCTGCCTGCTCTTCTTTACCCAGAACAGTGGTATAGCACTTGGGCCAAATCTCTGTCTTTCACAAAATCCCTATTAATGCAGTGAGAAACACTAATTCAGCTCCAAACCCTGAAGCAAATAAACCCGTCCCGTTCTTGTGACGTCATATCTGAGGTTGACCTTTGTGGTGATCAAACAGTGTGATGCAACAAGCTGCTGCAGCAAACGTTTCCCAACAGTCTTTTTGCGGAATTCATCTTAACGAAAACAAATTGTTTACGCATCTGAACACCTTTATAAGTAACTTTGTTAAATTTTTTTTATATACAATAAATATTTATGTAACTTTTGATGCCTAAATTTCTGCTGATGATTTTTTTGGACAACAGGGTCACTGACCTCTGTGTGTAAAACTCGACCCTGAAGGTTCAAAAGTCTGCAACGTAAATACTGATGCTATTCAAAAGACTTTTTTTTAACCCGCACTTCCTTGTTGACATTAGTTGTGCATAAATGGATTAGCGATATGTGAACACAAAGGCTTGAAGTTGGAAAAAGAACATTTTTAGCAACAAAATAATAATAATAATAATAATAATAATAATAATAAATACATTTTATTTGAAAGGCGCCTTTCATGGCACT